CATTTAATGCACATAAAGTTGATAGGTAGTATGCACTTGTGCCTGAAATTAAAAACCGACACATACATATGCACATATACATTTCCGCCTAAAGGAGACTTAATAATGGCTCCAAAGTATAATAATAACAATAATATAACAGCGGAATCCAGGAGCTGCAAACAAACAGCGGCAGATATTTAATAACATCTGTAAGCGGGCAAAGGAGAGTTAAATCACGTCCATGTTAGCCAGGTTTATATTAATTTTTGCGTAATTTGTGCCGAGCTACTGTATGCCAGCTTGTATTTGAGCGCTAGTGAAACACGCACTCTTGCGCCACCGCTACCCAGCGCAACCGACCAACGTCCCATGTACATCGAGACTTAAACAACGGCCATTGATTTCGTGTGGAACCCAGAACAAAACCTGTTCTCCAAGCGATTGGAAACGTCGTTATGACGATGGTGGTCAATGATGTTGGTGTATACAGTCCATTTTAAGATGACATTCATCGACTGTTGGCTTCGTGTTGACCGCACCGGTTTTCTGTTTTGAACTGGGAAAGATGCTCTCTTAGCCACGAGTATCCGCTCTTATTCTTTCGATGTACATATAAGCGAAGATTATCACATTGAGGTGGGTCCATTTCCATGACCCTGCCAACTTTGCCAGAGGTTTGATTCGGTGATGGCAGGACAATTTTTAGGCGTCATTATGGGTGTTCTTGGACTTGGGCTTGGTGATCAAAATAGAATACGACTTAATGTGCAATGTATGACCTACCGTTCGGCTTGATGTGAAAACATTTACCCCACTCAATGTATGTGTGAGTATGTGAATGTGTATCTTGAGGGATCGGCAGACGGGAGAACACAACTAAGGACAACTCATTGCCCCCCAATCACGAGCTGACTGTACCTTTGTGTTGAATGTAATTCGTTCATAATTGACAAAGTCAAAGGCTTGCTAAGCGGACCCAAAAGACCCAGGAACACTTCATAATTTGTTATACCCTACGCCATAGAGCACTCAAGTGTATTATGTGAATGTGAATCAGTCCGTAATGCCAACAGTACTTTTTGATGCCATTGCCACTTAATGGACCCTTCTTCTCTTAAGTCACGTGACCTTCTAATTGCCAGGTTGGCATGCAACTCAAACTGCATTTGTGGAATTTATATTTGCTTTCCAACGATTGGTATCGAACGCAAGACTATCGATTTGTGCGCCCTCTATGTATGCAAAACTCTTTGCTTTAAAATGCAATTTAAATAGGTTATTCATAATTATAACCTCCAGCTTCAAAGGAGGGTATATTAACTTTGTCACTGTGGTTGTAACATCCCTAAATATATATATCCTAGATCCCAATTTAAATAGGTTATTCATAATTATAACCTCCAGCTTGAAAGGAGGGTATATTAACTTTGTCACTGTGGTTGTAACATCCCTAAATATATATATCCTAGATCCCATAAAGTATATATATATATATATATATATATATATATATATGTATATTCTAAGTCGTTTTAACAATGCCAATGTCAGTGCAAATCACGATACAGCCCAGATTATTTGAAGTAGAGCTTAAACATTCGGTACAACAATTTGTATTGTGATATATCGGTCCACGTTTTTGTGTAGCCCCCCCTATAACGGCACCTCCCGATATTCGGTGTTTTGATGATTTTCGCCACATTTATCCAGGGATTTATCTAAAAATTTGTATTTGTAGTTCAGAATAGGTTCACCAGAGCTAGTACCTCCCAAAAATTTACATTTTATATGCTCATACATATTGATAGATAACAGATACAGTCTCCAAATTTGGAATGCCTAATAGAATTTGAAACAAAATTAAATTTGTCAAATTTTATTGAAATCGATTCAGAGTTGGATATAGCTCCCATATACATTTTCGGCCGATTTTATGTATTTGATGCACCCAACACGCTATGTATATCTAATTACAATGACATTTGGAATGTGTAACGGAATTTAAAACGAATAGACATTTGTCAAATTTACAGGGTGAGATGAAAAAAATGCAACCAAATTCAGACTGCCGTCATTTCTAAGCTATTCGTCCGACAGCTGTTAAATGTATTCCAGTGACAGCTCATTATATTGCTTACAAGCGTACAAAAGCCTTTTGGTGAGAATTTTCCAGTTATTCGTGATGGAATTCAAGCGTGATAGTGTGATTTCTTTATATTTGGCTGGAAACCCACAAGTGGCTATGGTTAGAGCACTCCAGCATTTAAATATGACTAAATCTTTTGTGTCTCGTACCATCGCTCGTTACTTTATACTGATAGCGTAGCCCGACGTCAAGGAAGTGGACGGAAGGAAACCGCAACATCAGCCGAAATGGTTCGAAAAGTACAGAAGCGACTTGATCAAAAATTGGCGCGTGATCTGAAAATATCGCAATGTTCCATTCCATCCATTTACTTGCCAAAGAGGTCAGCTGAAAATGTGCACCTTCGGTTGGCCACCGCTCCGCTCGTATTAATCGACCGTGGCATCAGAAAAAATGCCGAATATTATCGCGAAAATATTCTTGAGGGTGTATTAAAGCCTTGGGCGCGCAAACATTTTGGTCGCAGACCAAGGTTGAGGTTCCTCGCTTCATTTCCAGCGCACAATGGCTACCAAAATCCCCGGATACCCATCCGTTGGACTATTGTGTCTGGAGTATTTTGGAAAGCAAGGTTGCCACTAAAAAATACCAACGTGTCGATGAGCACAAGCAAGCGCTTCGCCGGGAATGGGCTAAAATACCGCAGAGCAACATTCGGGCAGCGTGTGACGGTTTCAATGGCCGTTTGAAGGCTATAATTCGTGCCAAAGGTGACCAGTTCGAACAAATCTAAAGATATTCTAAAATTTGATACTATTTCCGACATTTTTTGCTTTTATTCAATAAAATCTATATATATAAATGTAAGTTGTGTTAGTTACTACGCTTATAACTTAAGAACCGCTGGACTGATTTTAACAATTCACACAAATTAGGAGTTGTCTCCTCTCCGAAAAGGATAATATCCAAAAAAATCGCGTAAAAATGTGATATATTAACATTTTCATTTTGACTTTTCAAATGTACAATAGTAATGTTTTATTTTGCATGATTTTTTTCTATTTTGACTGGCTTTTTTCTAATGTACATTTGTAGAGTTTTTTATTTTTTATTTTTGAATTCGAATATTAAAACCAATTTATTTAATTGACTTGATTTCTTGAGAACTGAAATTGATGGCGGGTTACATGGAAGTGTAATACCGAATTATATGGTGGCGAAACGGAATAGATGATATCGAAATAATTTAACGCGGTCACACCAAAAGAAAGATAATTATTAATTAAAAGATAATTACTTTTTCAAATTCGCTAAAAAATCACGAAAAAGAGATCTCATTGCAAAAATTCTCAAATCGGGAAAAAATCGAAAAGATTTTCAGTGGAATCGAATTTTAAAATAATAGTAAGGGTCTTTAAACATTTGCTGTAATAAATCAGCGAACAAGTTGAAGATTTTTTCAATTTGCTATTCTTCTTTTGTCATTTTTTTTTAATTTGTATTTGCGAACACATTTAAACAACCAAAAATGACAGAAAAAGCCTAATGGAGCTCATTTCAAAGCGTGGACCTACTTCTTTCATGTGACAATAATCCGTCCAATGAGAGCTCAAAATGCAAAATTCTTTGGAAGTACAATCAGTAAAATACCAAATTTAAAGGGTGCAAAATAATAGAGCGAATGGAACTTTTAGTAAGAAAAGGATTTCTATCCTTCCAGGAATTCTTCCCAAACATTCAAGATACCTTAAATCACTTTTGCAGGTCATGATATCGATCATAACTCACGGATAAGGGTACAACCCGATTTTATATTTATATAACCATCACATGATTTAAGCTATTTTTGGGGTCTTGGCCACTTTTTTCATATTTTGGCCCTTATTTGGCATCTTTGACTCTAAGGGGTTGCCACATAGGAATTTATTTAAGTAAAGTCCCCACATTGGAGTATCCCCAAGTCCACTTTCACATATAATGTGTGGTCAGAAAAGAAAATTTTGTATTCTATTGAATTTGTAACTCTCAAGAGAATATTGGTTGGAAACGTAGATTTGGGAAATACATCTATATGATAATATGGTGGATAAAACTATTTTTACTCATTTAAATCACGCGGAATGTTTTTCAGTTTGACATGCTATGTTGTTCTGTTAAATTTTTGATTTGGTCTCTATTTGTCATATTGGATTATAAGGGCTAGAAGAATGTTTTCAATGTAGGTCGATGTCTCGGAGTAGTGCCCATGTAAAAGTATCTCCTGATTTTACCATATTTCAAAGGATTTGGCTAAAAATGTGTATTTGGGGGGTGAAAACTTACACAAAAATATGAACATATCTACAAATTTTAGAATTTTTTCCATATAATAGTACCCCCTCAAGTCCACTTTTTGGCGGACAAACAGACCGACATGGTTAGGGGGACTTATAAGAACGCTAATGGACAATCTGAGGTGCTAATGGCTTAAAAAAGTAATTAACTTTGGCTATTCTTAATTCATTCAGCGCTCAATTATGAGGTGTACAAAATACAGCAAATTCCAAATTACTGCTCATTTCACTGGAAGATTTTGCTACGATTTTTACCATACTAAAAATTAATTTGATCCCTTACATGGGGATAAGATTGATATATACTTTTTAATAGATTTGTATAGCACATCCACACCTTTGAAGCCCACGGCTTAAATATGGGTACAGGTATTTTAAAACACTTTTAATCGACCAGTACGGGAACACTTATATCAGTCATATCTGCGAATAATTATGCTTTGACAAATATGCATAATAGACAAAAACTACGGGCCGGCAACGCGGACCGGGCCAGCTAGTTTAAAATAAAATGAAAAAATTATGGCGCTTGACTTTGTTGCAGGTTTTTTTTTATCTCATCCTGTATATTAATATTGGTATTAACATTGTCGTTTAAGGAAACTCTTTTGTGCGCTATAACATCGGACAGGACGTCTACTACTCTCACCACAGCGGCGGTGAACTCAATTAACTAATGTGTTTATTAACTTGCATTTGTCGCGAATACATTCTGCCACCGCTCGTTCTTTGTTTCGTAGGAGGCGTAAGTAAACACAATACATGCGACTCGATTTCGTTTCGCCCGTTCTACTCGACATACAATACAATATGTTGAACTGTATTCGTATTCCGATATTATCCCGGTATTTTATTGAAAGCTATTTTGATGCTAATCGTTACGTTGGCCAGTATTAATTACTTAATGCGAGCTGTTGGTTGTTGATAGGTTGGTAATGAATTCTGCCCGAAGACATTTCTGCCAGCCAACCAGAGCAAAGCAGTTGCAGTCTACACATTGACAGTGCCATTCAAATTGTTAGAAACACGACAGAGTTTTCAGTTTTCTTAATTGATGCCCAAATACTTCCGCACAGCGTGGTAAACCGCATATCAGGGATATCTCGTGTCATTGTGTCCAACAGGTCACAATGAACGACTTTGAATCGATTGCCAAGGCCAAACCCCAAGAGCCAGAGCGTCCGCAACGCTACACCAAATGGATCCTACTTGGCCTGTTTAACTATGGTCGCTTCCTGGATATTATTAATTGCCAGTGGGATGCAAAGCAACTGCAAATGCGTCCGGTCAACAAAGTCTACAAGACGGTGACTTCCATATTGAGGGTCTTTATTGTGATTGTCTATTGGGATGTGGTGCCGGATGTATTAAAGAGCTTGTTGAACGAGCGCCGAGGTTTTGTCAACCTGTTTTCTATGTTCCAAGTTACGTCTGTGGTGGCATTCAGTGTTGGCCTATTCCTGATGAAGGTGCGCGACAGCTTTAAAATAATCCAGCTGATCAACAGATTCGTCCGGCTGAACATTAAAGTGGCTCAGTTGTCACAAAACAGCTTTTCCCTCTGCAAAAAGTCGATCAGTCTGTTCTTCTTAAAGTCGATCATCACTTTGCTGGGATACATCAACGAGATGCCCCACATGCTGGAAGTGCAGGGCTTGAACATAAATTCTTCGGTCAACATTGTCATAGGCGTTTACTTGTGGCTAGGTTCTATGTATGTGTTGGACGCCTGCTACTTGGGCTTCCTCATGCTGACCCTGATGTACGGCAACCTGGGCAGCCATTTGCAGAAAATGTTGAACAACATGAAGCACGTCGAGGGCGGCAGCCTCGTGGGAAGTTCCCTTACCACATACAACCGCATGAAGCTGTTGTGCGACTACTCCGAGAAGCTGGATGAACTGAGCGCCGTATACACAAACTTGTACAACATCACCAAGGACTTTGTCCATATTTTCCAATGGAACATCCTTTACTACATTTATTACAATTTCATGGTGATTTTTCTCCTGCTCAACCATTGCATTTGGCAGTACATCCGCAGCAATTTTATCGACTTCACGGAGATCATGTTTGTCTTTGTGAAAATCGCCAACCTCGTTCTGATGATAATGTGTGCCAACGACACCGTCGAGAAGTCGGAAATGGTCAACCAGTTGAACTTGGACATAGTCTGCTCGGACATCGACGCCAGATGGGACACCAGTGTAGGTGGCGCCCAGTAGTGCGACAGTTGAAAAATATCATAAGATTTCTTCGTGTCTTCCATTTCTTTGCAGGTCGAAACGTTCCTCAGCCAGCGTAAGGTGGAAAATCTGGAAATCAAAGTGTTTGGATTCTTCACCCTGAATAACGAGTTTATTCTCATGATGCTGTCAGCAATTATAACGTATCTTTTCTTTATCATTCAATTCGGCATGAGTGGTGGTTTCGGCACGTCGTCCATGGGTGGTGAAAGTTGATGTGACTGTTGCTTATTGTATAATAATATATTGGTCTGTACCAGAAGTGCAGTTTTTACTACGATAACCGATTTTCCCTTTATGATATTGAAAAACATTTCAAAATTTGTAGATTCTTGCAGGTTGTGGAACAGACCAAGTATTTGTAGGTAATATTTCCGTGCGTGTCTCAATGGAAACCTTGTGTAATTCTTTTAACCTCTTAAATAAAATGTTGAAATGTCCGTAAACAGACGAGTAATGTTTATGGAAAAGAAACTTCAGTTTTATGGGCAAGAGGGGATGCAAATGAGATATATGCGAGTTTTACTTCCGGTCTCTCATCCAAAAAATCACCAGATTGATTTCTGTTAAATGAAAATTTTCGTATAGGTGTGTAAAGAAGTAGAGAAAAGACTTCTTCTTGAAAAAAGTTCTTTTGATTTTAAGATTTTATACAGTTTTTTTTTATTTTTTATAAAATCAAGGGACGAAATTTTGATGCCTGCACCATGAAGCATTGAAAACATTGAAAAAATATGTCCGAATGTAGTCGTTCCGAATTATTTCTACAAATCGTACCTGCTACGTTCTTCAGGGTTGCTAGGCCTGAACAAATGATCAAATTATTGCATTTCTTTATTAAAGTGAAAGTGATTTCAATGCAGCAGATGATATAGCGTCATTGGCCGATACGACCTGGTATTTCTATCACGTCGAATTATTTATTGTTTTCAATATTGCCAATTACGATCCTGGAGCTTATTTAATAATTAACAATTTTTTTTATCAGTTTGAAGAAACTTCAATCGTGTAAATCGGATTACCGACAGCTATATATGCTATCAGACAGATATATTTAAACATTTATTTATATAAAAATTCTCTTTTTGGGCCTACCATAAAGATGAACCTACATATCCGATTTTTACAACAAATCCAATGTTAATACAAATATTGCAATACGAGACTTTTGAAGGCGATCTTTTCACATTTGATGATAGTTAAAATTATTCTAAATTTTGACCCTTTATGGGAAAAGTACCAGAAGTCTTGGTTTGATCTATCCGGTCTTCATTGAAGATATTGAGTTAGTAGAAGTAGCCTAGCCTAGCACTGATATAAATATTTGAATTTGCAAATTTAAAAAAAAAATGATGTTTACCTTAAAAAAACATTGAAAAGTGTGTGTGAAATCATTAAAATACTGAAATTTAAGAATTTCTGTTATATGGGGCCTACATTATCTGCCACAGGTTAACTTTGCCATTCCGTTTGTAATTCCTCGAAATACTCAAGTCAGACCCTACAAAGTGTATATATTCTGGATCAGCATAAAATTCTAAGTCGATTTAGCGATGCCTGTGTGTTCGTCTGTTGTAATCGCGAATTGAGATAGAAGGCTAAAATTTTGCACACGTGTGTATTTTGCCAGTAGGTAAAGTTCGTAAATGGGTCATGTCGGTCCACGTTTTCGTATATTCTCCATGTAATGGTACCTCCCAATATTCGGTATTTTAATGATTCTGGAGACATTATAGACCGGAATTGTTTCAAATTTCGTATTTGCATTTTGGGTCCCAAAACCTATGATGGACAACTGTTTATGCAGGTCCACGTCTTCGCATAACCCACATATAACAGTACCTCCCTTTATTTCAGTAAGACCGTTTGGATAATGCTGTTTCAATTTCAAATCACAATTAGTTTCCAGTAGTGGGATTGTCTAACTTTTTTTATTATATCGGCAAAATTAAGTTGACAACACTTTTGGTAACGGTAGGACTTAGCGACTAATTCATTTTCGTCATTAACTTGCATTACGTTAATTACCGAAATCATAAGCATTTTTATACCCTCCAGCCTAGTATGGGGGGTATATTAAGTTTGTCATTCCGTAACACCTCGAAATGTACATTTTAGACCCCACAATATATAAATATATATATATATATATATATATATATATATATATATATATTTATTTATGGATACCATAGCCTAAGACAGAAAATATATATATATATATATATATATATATATATATATATATATATATAAATATATATATGTATATATATATATATATCTATATATATAAATGTAAGTTGTGTTAGTTACTACGCTTATAACTTAAGAACCGCTGGACTGATTTTAACAATTCACACAAATTAGGAGTTGTCTCCTCTCCGAAAAGGATAATATCCAAAAAAATCGCGTAAAAATGTGATATATTAACATTTTCATTTTGACTTTTCAAATGTACAATAGTAATGTTTTATTTTGCATGATTTTTTTCTATTTTGACTGGCTTTTTTCTAATGTACATTTGTAGAGTTTTTTATTTTTTATTTTTGAATTCGAATATTAAAACCAATTTATTTAATTGACTTGATTTCTTGAGAACTGAAATTGATGGCGGGTTACATGGAAGTGTAATACCGAATTATATGGTGGCGAAACGGAATAGATGATATCGAAATAATTTAACGCGGTCACACCAAAAGAAAGATAATTATTAATTAAAAGATAATTACTTTTTCAAATTCGCTAAAAAATCACGAAAAAGAGATCTCATTGCAAAAATTCTCAAATCGGGAAAAAATCGAAAAGATTTTCAGTGGAATCGAATTTTAAAATAATAGTAAGGGTCTTTAAACATTTGCTGTAATAAATCAGCGAACAAGTTGAAGATTTTTTCAATTTGCTATTCTTCTTTTGTCATTTTTTTTTAATTTGTATTTGCGAACACATTTAAACAACCAAAAATGACAGAAAAAGCCTAATGGAGCTCATTTCAAAGCGTGGACCTACTTCTTTCATGTGACAATAATCCGTCCAATGAGAGCTCAAAATGCAAAATTCTTTGGAAGTACAATCAGTAAAATACCAAATTTAAAGGGTGCAAAATAATAGAGCGAATGGAACTTTTAGTAAGAAAAGGATTTCTATCCTTCCAGGAATTCTTCCCAAACATTCAAGATACCTTAAATCACTTTTGCAGGTCATGATATCGATCATAACTCACGGATAAGGGTACAACCCGATTTTATATTTATATAACCATCACATGATTTAAGCTATTTTTGGGGTCTTGGCCACTTTTTTCATATTTTGGCCCTTATTTGGCATCTTTGACTCTAAGGGGTTGCCACATAGGAATTTATTTAAGTAAAGTCCCCACATTGGAGTATCCCCAAGTCCACTTTCACATATAATGTGTGGTCAGAAAAGAAAATTTTGTATTCTATTGAATTTGTAACTCTCAAGAGAATATTGGTTGGAAACGTAGATTTGGGAAATACATCTATATGATAATATGGTGGATAAAACTATTTTTACTCATTTAAATCACGCGGAATGTTTTTCAGTTTGACATGCTATGTTGTTCTGTTAAATTTTTGATTTGGTCTCTATTTGTCATATTGGATTATAAGGGCTAGAAGAATGTTTTCAATGTAGGTCGATGTCTCGGAGTAGTGCCCATGTAAAAGTATCTCCTGATTTTACCATATTTCAAAGGATTTGGCTAAAAATGTGTATTTGGGGGGTGAAAACTTACACAAAAATATGAACATATCTACAAATTTTAGAATTTTTTCCATATAATAGTACCCCCTCAAGTCCACTTTTTGGCGGACAAACAGACCGACATGGTTAGGGGGACTTATAAGAACGCTAATGGACAATCTGAGGTGCTAATGGCTTAAAAAAGTAATTAACTTTGGCTATTCTTAATTCATTCAGCGCTCAATTATGAGGTGTACAAAATACAGCAAATTCCAAATTACTGCTCATTTCACTGGAAGATTTTGCTACGATTTTTACCATACTAAAAATTAATTTGATCCCTTACATGGGGATAAGATTGATATATACTTTTTAATAGATTTGTATAGCACATCCACACCTTTGAAGCCCACGGCTTAAATATGGGTACAGGTATTTTAAAACACTTTTAATCAACCAGTACGGGAACACTTATATCAGTCATATCTGCGAATAATTATGCTTTGACAAATATGCATAATAGACAAAAACTACGGGCCGGCAACGCGGACCGGGCCAGCTAGTATATATATAAATATATATATATATATATATATATTTATATATATATATATATATATATATATATATATATATATATATATATATATATATATATATATATATATATATATATATATATATATATATATATATATATATATGTTATTTATCAGCATAAAATACTATGTCGATTAGCGATGTCCGATGATTTTAGCGACATTATTCACGGGAATTGTTTCAAATTTGGTATTTGAAGTTCGTAATGGATACCATAGCCTAAGACAGAAAATTGTCTGTGCAGGTCCACATCTTCGTATACGGGCCGGCAACGCGGACCGGGCCAGCTAGTATATATATAAATATATATATATATATATATATTTATATATATATATATATATATATATATATATATATATATATATATATATATATATATATATATATGTTATTTATCAGCATAAAATACTATGTCGATTAGCGATGTCCGATGATTTTAGCGACATTATTCACGGGAATTGTTTCAAATTTGGTATTTGAAGTTCGTAATGGATACCATAGCCTAAGACAGAAAATTGTCTGTGCAGGTCCACATCTTCGTATAGCCCCCATATAAGGGTACTTCCCGATATTCGGTATTTTGATGATTTACACAACTTTATTCACGGCTACGTTCGGTAATTTTAAGATTTTAGCAGAATTTATGTTTCTGAAAATTGTCAAATTCGTTCCAAATGATGGAGGGTATTCAAAGATCGGCCCTGACGAACTTAGAGCTTTTTTTACTTGTTTGTTATTGTATGTTTTTGGCCAAGTTTGAGATTTGTATTACTCGCTGAGATCAACGCTTACTCACTCTGTTATTTATTGCAAATAAATTATTCGCTTTTTACTGCATTTTTCCCAACGTTTCCTCATTTGTAGGCGACTTCTTCGGGAGATTTCGTACATATCAAAAACACAATAATTGCAAACATAATTTTTACTTGCACTATTATTTAAGACTTACGAAATTTATACATTTAATTAACATAAAAGACAATAAACAACAACTTAAAAACTAGTATGACATGTTTACGCTATTGCCATTGCATAGCTTATATATATATATATATATATATATATATATATATATATATATATATATATATATATATATATATATATATATATATATATATATATATATATAAACTGTTCATTTTGTTGGCATACAACCTACAAG